TTGAACAGCACTGGACCCAGAACAGACCCACAGCCACCTGTCATACCAGCCACCTGTTGTAGTGAAAGTTGTTTCCAGTTTCGCACAGTACTTTAAAAATTAAACGTAAGACAAATAAAGCATTTCCTTGTGAAATATCTGACCTGAGCTGCTGGGGATTTTCATGGATGCCAACCACCCAGTAATGATCAGATGTTCCTTTGCAATGATCTCTCGTGTTACACACTGGAATCCAAGTATTCCCGAGCCCTCGGTTCAACATCCGCACGATTCCCTCCGAATCCACGTAACAAGGGGTACCTGTTGGTTACAAAACAAAACAATTATGTTGACAGGCAACTAATTACAATGTGAGTAAGTTTGAGCTGGTGGATATTGCTGAGAAATGATGGTTTCTTAAATAAGGCATCGTCTCACCCAAACAGGACAACCTTGCTGCGAAAAATTAGTTTCCTTAGAAAGATGCGCCACCTTCTGACAGTCAACACTACTGCTGGTCAGAAGACAAATTTAAAACGTTTTATGAAGAAATCAAATTCACACTACTTGGGTAGATTCCCAAAGAAAATCAGCTATTTTGCAATTATATTTTCTGGTTATCATAGAAACTCCTCCCAAGCTATGAGACAGCTAAACACAACTATTATGCTGCACTAATGCAGTTCATTTCTTTTTTGGTGACTCGGGCAACCAAGTGAGAAAACAAGTTCTGATAACATTCAAGTGTATTCTAGTCATAGTAGAAACCTAGTAAAGATTTCTGATAAATATATTTAAAGAATAGAAAAAAAGAATTTTGGTTAACCTTAAGGAGATTGAAAAATTAAGTCTAGGTCCCATATGACCATTACTAAAAAGACATTAATTAGCCAAACTCTCCTCCAAAACAACCCCAAAAGTGTCAAGATTTCTCAACATCACTCATGCAGGTGTTTCATACCTTCTGCGGAGAATCCAACCCACACCAAATAGGATTTTTTGGTAAGAGAAAGAGGGTCTCCATGCAAAATTTGTTTTTTCTTTTTTCCTAGCTCCATCAGCTGTACCCCAAGGCATTGGTCCCCATCAAACCCAGTACCTAGGAAGAAGTTGTTCAATGACAATGTTAGAAACCAAAAGGACTGTCTTGTCTCTTGGTTAAATTTAAGTTTTGAATCATAAACTAATTCTAATGCAGGGTTATCCACAAATGTCACTGCCAGATAAGTGACTATTTGTCATTTTGGACATGAAAACCATGTGTAACAACTGCTTCCTTGATTTCCCATAGTAGTTCATTCAGGCATATCTGAAACTCAAGTTTAATCTGTTAATGTCACTGTTACTAAATTCTCCCCTTCCCCACAGGTTAATTTAGGCCTCCCAGGATAAAATGTAGCCTTTGCTGTCAGAAAACAAAGATCTGTAACAACAAAAGCATCATCAAGAAGAGAAAAACAAGGATAAGCATCGTCCACAAGAGAAGAAGAAAACACTTCTGGTGGCGATGGGCAAATTAACCAGTGTTTGAAGCCAACAGACGAGAATCAAAAACATAACCCCGGGTCAAAAAGGACAGAGGGGAGGAAACTACCTCTGTGATAAACAATCATCAGCTGCTCCCCATGTCCTGCCATAGACACAACGGGGCCCGGGAGACTGAAGATCTCTCTCTGAACTCCTCCGACAGTGAACACACGCATGAGCAAGGCACTCGTGGCACAGGCAGCCCAACCTTGCCCGAGACAGATCGCCTCGATGTCTTCATCCTTCGGCATATCTACTGTCCACTCCTTGTTTGCATCCCATGAGCTAAAATGAATGCAGTGGAGCTTGCTAAAGCAGGGACAAAGAGCAAGAGTTAAATATCTCAACGGGAAGTAAATGAGAATATCTGACAACACACCAATACAGCACGTTTTTATCAGAGACTTGGAATACGTGGCTATCATAGAAAGGAATTACAGGAGGCAGGTGATCATTTGCAAAGGTGTTACTCCTACTATTCAAGAGCTGAGAGCCAGCTCGCCCTCCAGCACTGCAGATTTAGAGCCTCTAAAGCCCGAAACAGAGACAGTTTAAAGATCTTAGGGGAGATTTTTTAGACCAAAACAGGTCAGTGTCCTGCTTAATTAACAGAACTGAAGGTGCTTGATATTCCTGAATATCAGCCTTCATTACAAATCTGGCACATTGTGCTGTCTTTCAAAGAGAAAAAAATAAATTAGGAACTTCAGTCTGGTCATCTTAATAATTGAAAACTGCCTGTGACCAATTCAGAGACATTGAGACTTTTGAGAGATTACCCACTTCCACTGAGAAAGAAAATTGAAATTTTCAGTCATCGAACCAATACACACAAATACTACTGTTAAAGGTAAAGGATGCTTTTCACTTAGCACAATGCTGTACGTATGAAAATAAGTTTATTTTTCAAGATATTTCCACAGAAAACAGCAATATAATACTGTTACTATTGTTTTTAAATGTAAACCAGAGTTTAGCTGCCTCAGCTGCTTAACTCTTCGTTTGGTTTTCATAAACTTCACACTGATATAACTCTTTGGGTACTTCAAAATACATCTCCTTAGCAACAGCGTGAAAAGAAATAGCACAGCCCTTACGATTTATCTTTGATCTGAGAAGACTAAAAAACTATTGTAAATCTTTACAGTTTCCTTTGAACTAGCAATGCATGACGTTTCCAGTATATATATGTATTTGAGAAAGGGATTAGGGAAAAAATTCCACAGGAAACAAATTACATCTTCCAACATTCTTGAAGTCTTTGAGTGGGTGGATGCAAAAATCCTCCTCAAAAGTGGTCCCATAAATAAACAGCATGATCAAAAGCCAGAAATCTCCAAAAGGTGACAGAAGTCGTAATTGAAAGCCAAAATATTTGAAACAAATTAAGTGTAATTCCTTGCTATGGGTTTTGCAGAGCCAAGCCGTGACTTACCTTGGAAGTTCCTCTGTACTCTCACAGGCCAGTAAAACAGCTTCAGTAGAGAGGTCAGCCATCGTGTGGTTTAGAGAGTTCGGCAGGTGCGTTGCGTGATGTACGGAGGTATCGTGAAATTCTATGTCTATAGCGTTGTCCTGCTCATCATTGTAACAGCGAATGATACCGACAGAATTCCAAACCTGTTCAAGAGAAACATCCCTCAAAAAAAAAAAAAAAGAAAGAAAAGAAGCCCAAACAACTGAAGCATACTGCCCTAAACCAGCCTGATGTAACCTTCACCTCTGAACCAACAGTAGGGGGAAGGCTGGAGGAAAACTGAAGTCTTGTGTAGTCAGGACTTGTAGTTTCTGAAACTGCTGAATTTAGCAGAAACTAGTTTCACTCTCAGTGCTTAGCCAGCTTTCTCCTTATGAAATTAAGTGTGAAGTACTCACAGTTAGAAAGAGATAGTGAAACACACAAGTCTTAGCAGCACAAAAATATCCACAAGTTCTAGCTACAAAAGAATTCTTAAAAAGATTTGCAAGAATTCAATAGCACAGGTACAAACTGTACAGCTTGCTATTTTTTGTCTTAAAAGCCAAGTATTTATTTCTAGATCAAAAGCAACTGAAATGTAAAGCACAACGTTATGCAGTCCATGCATCAGCACAAAGCCCCTTCCCACTGTTTAGCTTCACCCTGTGAAGCATTTAAAAAAAAGGTAACCAAAAATTCTTGGGAAAAGATTAGATTCTGACACAGCAAGAACTGCACAATATTAAATATTAACCAAACCCCGCAGCGCTAAGATTTACCATGAAACGATGCATGAGATGTGCAGGAGTGGAGCCAGGCTGGAATGGCCTTTGCTTGGGGGTTGGCATCGGCCCATCGTAGAAAGGCCGTTGCGTAGACGACGGCGGTAAAGCTGAAAAGCCACCGGTCTGGTCATCATCATCATCTTCCTTTTCAAGAAGAGTGGAGTTCGCTTTTATCAACCCAATATCTAGAAGTTTCAAATAAAACCAGAGATCATCTTACATATATTATTATGACAGAATATAGAGGGGGAAAAAAATTTAAACCAGTCAAGATTTCCCTAGAAAAATATGGCTAAATTTATCTGAGTCAAGGATGCTACAAGATCATCCCAATGGCAGCCCTGAAGAGATCCAGAAAATTAGATCATTTTGTACCTAGTGAGTTATCATCCTCATCAATTATCGCCCGTCTCAGCCGGCCTGAAGTTGGCATAAGGTCATCAGCATCATCTTCGTTACCTCCAGCCTTCGGGGAAGACTGTGGTTCAATCAATTCTCCATTTACATAGTCGTCGTCATCGCCATCAAAAAGATCATTGTAGTCTTTTGCCACAGTATCAGCAACCTAAAACCAGATTAACAATCATCACAAAACTTCTTTTGGCCAAGAAATGAATTAACACACACGAGGGAAATTTGCAACACATAAAACAGAGCATTCAATTTAATTTCGTAACCTAAATGATCATCTCAGTTTAATAAACAATCAGTACTGATCACCTTGTCATTTGGCTTGTTTGCATCACCGATATTTTCCAATAACCCCAGATTTCCTTCAGTATCTGTATAAGCAATTTGGCTATATTTGGGGTGCCATGCCAGTCCACAAACCGAGTAATTTTTCTCATGCTTCACCCTAAAAAGAATATAAAAAAATGGATTTTTAGTTAAGCTTCTCAGTGTAGAAGCCTCCCCAAGAAGAAGTGGTAATATTTACTAGTATTAGAAAGTTATGTTACAGTGATGTTACACATAACTAATTATTATGTCACCTTTAAAATCATTTACTATTAAAAAAATACAGCAAGTCTTCCTCTTCTATGAAGAAATTAATTAAAGCTTTAAAAAACAAACAGAATCATGCTCTTTAAACAACAGCTTCCTGATACACGTAGAAAAGACAAAGTAATTCCCCAGCAGTCATACATCCCAGAACCATTCAGTCATACAAAGAACGTTCAGTCGTTTCTCTTGCACCAAACTGATGAGTTAATCCTCGCTCTTTTCCACCTTTTATTCTCACAAGAAATCCTCCCATTAATTATTTACATAATCTGACATTAATTCTTAACATAGGTGTTACAGTAACAAAGACGTTTCTCAGCCAAAATATTCAGACAGATAAATCATCCCTTCTCTTTTTCTCTACCTCACTTAATCATAACATTTTTCTTTTTCTTTTCTTTTTTTTTTGAGAGAGATGTTTTAACTACCGAAAGAAAAGTGCAATTTGTCAGTTTGTCCTTTTGTTGCCTACAGGTGAGGACAGCTGACTGATGCATCTGCATTTCCCTCTGCATTTAGAAAATACAGCTTACTGCCAATGATCATAGACCTACAGAATGCTTTGGACTGGAAGGGACTTTTAAAGGTCATCT